TATGTCTTTTTCTATTGTGCGAGCTTCTCCACGCGTCAGTGCAAGCGCGCACTTTTTTTATCAAACTCATTGAAGCTCATGGAGAACCATAGCTTCACTGAATGGAGCTTAATTTATGAATTTCTTATAAATTATTTGCTATCGTCTCGTCACTAATATTGGTCTCATTTATCAAGAAGTAAAGATAATTTTTGGTCTTCTGAAGAAAACGATTATCACAAGTTAGTCGACCTTACCAAATTCTTATAATAGATGGTTTTATATCTACTACCGTGATTGTCTGCAACTTTTCAAGCGCTAAATCGTCCACATACCCAAAAGCTATATCACCTTGATCTGCATGATGTCCGCACGAGTGACAATGGAGCAGTCCTCCTGTCACACTCCTCACGATGTGTGTAGGGATGCAATTTCTCACTGCACAGAATGCAGCACTACATATGAAGGACTTCATGCATATTCGGGTCAGGCAGGCTAGCCTTAGCGCAAACGTTTTGGAAGCGCTACAAACGGGCTCATATGTATAGTAGAATTTCGTAATCGCTCAAATGCCCATGTGCTTCGCTCAAAGAAAGCTGTGGCAAGCGATTCCTTTACCGGTTACGCAGAGCCGGGCACAGCGGCTATCCCAGGACCGCCAATGTAACAGCCAACCATATCGTCAGCACATACCATACCCATGTTACCATGCTTAGCAAACGCAATGTGAGCAGATAAGCACCTGCTGAATGATTCCATACGACAGAGGGTATTCAAGTAATCCTTCACTTGAGCTGTCTTGATGGCGACCCATTGTCGTCATCAATTGCTGACCTCGGTCGGGTGCAATGGAAACAACGAAAGGTGGAGCTGGTATAATCTGCGTTTCGATGAAAATATGGACTGCCGTATGTGGGTTAAACAGTATTGTGAGGCCGCAGAAATTGGTATGCAAGGTATTGTTGCGCTAGTAATCGTTGGATGACCTCAAGTTACGTTTTTGTACCCATTGTATCAGTAAGACTAGAAAGTTGAGCTTTCAAATCCGCTGTGACTGTTTTGGTGGAAGATCTTACATGGGATTATGGAAAATAGAGTATAACCTCGGATCTGAGTTTAGCCTAAAGGCTCGAATTTGTGAATCGTGTTAAAACTACAAGGACCTGTTGGTGTTTACAATCTTGATGGGGGAGAATGTAACGGGGAAACCGTATGTATACCTTATTTATCTACATCGAACGATTTCAATTATATGCATCTCAATCAGCAGGGCAATAGCCCTCTGAATAAATATTCAAAAATATGAGAGCACATCAATGGGCTCCCACACCGCCGACAACAACATGTAGCTCTATGGTTGAATAACGGCTTATTATGTGCAGTTTGGCCAAAGGCACTGCCGACGAATAATTTCGATCCTGGCAAGTTATTTATTGATTTTAAAGGATTTTATTGCAACTAACGATTTACGGCGAATTGCTGAGAATCAAACATTCCTTACGCCTTGCAATTTCAAGCCGAATAGGTGGATCAGGCACGTCACCATCATTTTAAGCTAAGCTGTACAACGATCGCTTTTTTGCGCAGTCTCCATGGCAATCCCATCGAATTCTCGTGAATCTTAAAAAGCACAACCTGCCTGTGTTTGTTTATGCGGCAGTATGGCGTCCATGCTGCCACACACTTGCAGGTGGTGGGAGAAACGGGTACAGCCTCCTCAGAGTCGACATTCCATCATAAGACAGATCGATATTGCTACTGTCGCAAACATTATACTGCAATAGGAAAAGCGTCGATCAAATCTTATGACTCGACGAGCTGATAAATGTTCCATTTCGTTCACTGCGGAAATGAAGGGCGACGAAAAGTAAGCGAGTTTTGTGCCGTGGAGAAGTTCACGATGGTTTTTCTCCTAAGTCTTACCTCTATGAAATTTGCTGCCTGTGCAGGTGCCAGCATTAAGCACGATGGTCAAAATAAGAACAATGCAAGTAAATTCTTTATGAATCTTCTATTTATATGCCTGCTGTAATTGTCCAGCAGGCATATAAATAGAAGATTCATCCATGATGGCAACACGCTTGCCATATTATAGATGTTGATCTAAAGAGTTTCGGAATCTTACAATGATATTTCCGCAAATATATTAAGAAATATATGAATTTTGTCTATAAATTTGTTACCATACGCGTAACATTGTAGCGCTGTCGTAGGTCCATTTGACTGACAGCGCATTACGATGCTGAGGCACCACGTACTATCTCAGACACGCATATTGCAGCGTGCAAGCACTGCTTTTCAGCCAACGGTACTCATTCGCTTTGTGTCAGGGCCAATCATCACTGAGGATCACGAAGAAGATGAGGAGGCCCTAAGTGTCGGTGAGCCCTCGGGTTTCGAGCGCGACACCCTGGACACATATCTAAACACACTTAAAAAGTATAATCCGCCCATCAAGACGGGACTTCGAGGGCTTAACATTATCCATGATCCACTTTACAATAAAGGAACGGGATTCCCACATGTTGAGCGCGACCGTCTTGGTATGGCCTTCATGCAGCAACTCGACTCGAAGTGATTAACTTATCCATATCATTCTGTATCGCTGGTCATATTAGGTCTGCGCGGTTTAGTGCCTCCGCGTCGTCTGAAAGTGGAGGCACAGCTTGCTAAGCTGTACGAAACGTTTTCCCAAGAGAAGGACCCACTTAGTAAAAGTCGTTTTCTTACGGATCTGCACGATAGAAACGAAACGCTGTTCTTTCGTCTTTTGATCATGCACATGAAAGAAATGGGTGCGTTAAACCCTTGCTTTGAGACAGAGCTTCTAATCGACACTTACGTGTGATATGTGCCCTCAGCCCCCATTGTATATACTCCGACGGTTGGTCTCGTATGCCAAAAGTTTGGCCATCTCTTTCGTCGACCTCGCGGTATGTTTTTTAGTACGCGCGACCGTAGCCAATTTGGTGCTATGGTGCACAATTGGCCGTGCGATGACGTAGAAGTGATTGTGGTTACTGATGGGAGCCGTATCCTTGGCCTTGGAGACCTTGGTGCAAACGGTATGGGTATCCCCATCGGTAAGTTGGCGCTTTATACGGCTGCCGGTGGAATTGATCCACGAAAGGTTCTTCCAGTAATGCTCGATACGGGTACAAACAACAAGCAACTTCTTGAGGATCCATACTACCTTGGTGTGCAGCAGCCTCGTCTAATAGGGGAAGCCTTTTGGTCGATGGTCGATGAATTCATGCGTGCTGTGCGCCATCGGTGGCCCAAGGTCCTTGTGCAGTTTGAAGATTTTTCGAGCGAACACGCTGCGGACGTGCTAAATGCTTACCGTCTGAAACAGCTCTGCTTTAACGATGACATTCAAGGCACGGGTGCTACGGTACTGGCTGGCGCTCTAAGCGCTTGTGAGCGTGTGGGGATTCCACTAAAGGAACAGCGCATTGTCATTCTTGGTGCTGGTAGTGCAGGCTTGGGTGTAGCCACTACGTTGTTGCAGGGTATGCTGCGTGAAGGAATGACAACTGAGGAGGCTCGTGAGCGCTTTTATATTCTCGATCAGTATGGATTGCTCGGTGAGTCTCGAGAGTCGCTAAATTCAGGCCAGCAATATTTTTCTCGCAGCGATCTTGCTGACAAGACAAACCTTGTCGATGTGATTAAACGGGTAAAACCCACGATGCTGATGGGGCTGAGCGCTGCCGCTGGTGCCTTCACCCAAGAGGCTGTGGAGGAAATGGCAAAGCACACAAAACAGCCAATCGTTTTCCCACTGTCAAATCCCACGTCTGTTGCTGAGTGCACAGCCGAGCAAGCTTACGAGTGGACCAAAGGCAAGTGCGTGTTTGCCAGTGGCAGCCCTTTTGAACCTGTGATGTACAATGGCACGCATTACAATATCAGTCAATGCAACAACATGTTTATCTTTCCAGGTGTGGGTCTTGCGTGCTCGGTGATTCAAGCGACCCGTGTAACAGACGGTATGCTCTATTCGGCTGCAAAAGCGCTGTCGCAGTGCATGACTCCAGAGGAAATTACGAACGGTCAAGTATTCCCGTCCGTGGAAAATATTCGTGAAGTATCGCTTAAGGTGGCTACAGCTGTCTGCCAGACTGCTATCGAGGAAGACGTCGCTAGTATCACACCAATTATTCGCCGTGGTGGGACTCTGGAACACTTTGTTGCTTCAAAAATGTACTACCCGACGTACCACGCTCTCGTTGAGTGAGACCTTAGCCATTACTGGAAAGCGCATACCTTTTGGTAGAGCACATAGATGTAAGTTTTAATTGAAGCACCCGCTAAACTCCACAAATGGATGCATATGTGAAGGTTGGAGTGGATATATCACACACATTCATCTGATGATCCAAAGGCCTGATTGATAACAGTAATCGCCACAAAAATTAATATTAAAATGCGTAGGCAATGTCAGCAGAAAGATCTCTGGAGCAACAACACCATCGCAGATTAGTTGCGTCCGTTCGTATACTGCTAAAGCAGGTCGCGTAAACGTTTGATGACTAACTCAACATTTCCTGTCCGTGTGTGGGGCTAGCAAAGCAAATTTTGACACGAGAGCATCGAAGAGCTCTCCGTTGACGCCGTCCTCCGAGCTCTTCGTCTTACGCACAGCATGTAGACACCCAGTAACAGAGCCGCCAGGGGCATCAATGTCTACTCCACTTGCATACTCAAACGTCTGGCCTGGCTCTAACAACGGCGTGGCACCCACAATACCTGCCGAATTTCGCGGCAAGGCGATTCGCATACCCTTTTCACTCTCAAACGTGTATTGGCGACCTAGAATCTGGACAGCAGTATTCTTGTCTAAGTGAGCGATACAAAAAAGACTTGAGTCTTGGTAAGCTTAAACCGCCCAAGAACTTTAAGATCTCACTGATGTTGGTAATGGTAATCCGATAGGTAAATCGATAGACATTTGAGGCCGTATTGCTATAATTTTGTACGTATTTACTCGTCGCTTCAATACGAACGCCATCGGTTACAGTGACTGCATATATAAGAGGCAGATCAGCACACATGATAATCCACCAGCGTCTTTTTCGTACCACTCGAGCATCGAGCCAACCAAAGCTGGTCAGACAGCTCACTTACAATTCTGACGTAAAGAACAATTCGTTGTATAATTTAGCGCAGCCCAAAGAGTATACACCCTATCACGTACTCGATTGCTTCGTCCAGCAACGCATTGACAATCTACTCATCATATCAGTCCATCAACTCGATCACACCCACAGCATTCGATCAATTACCTTTCGGTCATTGAGCTTTGCATTTTGTCGAAAGCTTAATCGTATACTATTGACTATATCAGCTTCAGGTGATCTCAGGCGAATCGCATTATCCCGCAGCTTTCGAAACTCTTTGAGAGAAGTGAGCACAATGGGATCACTTGTGATCTGCATCTGGAGTTCCTGGCTAGATAAAGGCTCTACGAAGCTACCAGATCCCCATTGTTCTAGTCGTAAGTCTCGTCGGATATTAAAGTGCGGAGTTCGCTGCAGCTTATGGGCATCGCGTAGCAGACAACGGTATATAGCGCGCACTGTAGCTGCCATTACAATGCGGATTTAAGTGCAATACACCATCAAAAGGAACACATTTTTGGGGGAAGATTTCATACAAATAACTTATATAAAGTCATGACCGAGATTTCAACGACGCGAGGGCTCCCTGAAGAGGTAGTGACGCACCCACTAGTGCTATTAAGCATCGTAGATCACTATAATCGTGTGGCTCGCGATACAAGCAAGCGTGTAGTCGGCGTTTTATTGGGCTCGACCTTTCACGGCAAGTGCGACATCACCAACTCGTTCGCCGTACCATTTGATGAAGACTTGCGTAACCCAGGCATTTGGTATTTAGACCATGACTTTTTGGAGAGTATGTATCAAATGTTCAAAAAGATCAATGCCAAGGAACGCATTGTGGGCTTTTACAGTTCGGGTCCTAAGATTCGCAAGGCCGATTTGGACATTGACGACTTGTTTCGTCGCTACTGTCCGAACCCTGTGCTAGTCATTTGTGACGTTCGTCCTAATGTGGAAGGGCTTCCCACTACTGCTTATGGATCGATTGAAGAAGTGGAAGAAGATGGTAAGGCCATCAAGCGCGTTTTCAAGCATATAAAATCTACTGTTGGTGCCTACGAAGCCGAGGAGGTGGGTGTCGAGCATCTGTTGCGTGACATTAATGATCCATCGGTAAGTTCGCTAGCTGGACAGGTCAAACATAAGATGACGGCGCTCAATGGGCTTAAAGAGCGACTAGAAGAAATGAAGACATATCTTGAGAACGTTGTTGCAGGTCGTCTGCCACCGAATTATCAAATCATTTACAACATGCAGACCATTTTTAACCTGCTGCCCAACCTTAATGTCGAACAACTTGTGCGCTCCATGTTTATGAAGACGAACGACATGCATTTTGTAAGTAACTTCTACGGAATGATGAAAAGATTAGTCATTTTGCTAATGTCAAACGGTCATTTTAATTTAACAGGTGATTTATTTGTCGTCGCTTATTCGTTGCACGATCGCTCTGCACAACCTTGTGAACAACAAGATCAAATACAAAGAGTCAGAAGAGATAGCGTTTACGGATAAAAAGGAGGAGAAAAAAGAAGCTACAAAGGATAAGACGACCGAAAAAGCTCCGTAGAATTGGTGTACAATTTCTACTAACAAGTCCCACCTTAAATAAACTGACGTTAAACAACCTACACAGCCGTCAAACAACTCTATCGTTGCCAGTAGGTCTCGCTTATCCTTACCTACTGCTTTAATAAATGACGCAATTTAATTTGCTCAAACGTAATTTGAATAAATAAGCTTCATCAGCAACAAATTTAAGAGTAAATTGGAGGGCAGCAACACAGTTAGACTAAATATTAATACAATATATATTCTACATTTCCACTTCAGACATCTGACGTCGACGACCTGCGTAATGATCAACTTACGCTGTATGCCATCGAGAAATGTATGGATGGATGAGTTGAGCATACTTTTATATACAACATGACATAAAGAATGTGGTCAAAGAAGTATTGTGTATTTTGTAATGTTAATTTCTGGATGTAAAGGTACTCGCAATGATGCTTGTCAATCCTAGTGCGGAGGATTCTGAGTGCAGGACTCGCCAACACCGGCTGCAAGGTCAAGTGTCCAGTAATTTTTATACTGCTGTGCATCGTTTTCCGTGTGCCCGACACCCATGTAAGAATAACTGCCAAAGATGTATTGGCCTGGATTTGCGATCCAGACCTCCACCATGCCGTCCCACGTGTTGTAACCTGCCCCAACCAGCGTGGCGGCGGCAGTATAGTTAAAATGTTGCGCCTTAAGTCGATCTACTTGATCGAGCCCGTCCGAGCCTCGAGCGCTGACAAGGTTATGAGCAGCCATATCATCCGCGTGGGCCTGGGCAGAAGCCACTAACTTGGTGTTGACGCATAGATTCGCCAGACCCTTCTCGCTGCGCTTATCGTTGATAGCTTTTAGTACATTCGTCTGCAAATCAGAGGTGGTGTCAGCGTCGCTTGAGCTGAAGAGGGCCGCAAGAGCGAGCACAAAAACGGACTTCATTGCTTAGCTTGGATTGAAAGTTGGAGTGTTTGAAGGGCACAGAAAATTGAGGAATAAATGAGAGAAACAAAGGTCTCCAAGCCGAGAAACGCAATTCACAGATCAGAGCCAGCAGATGGGGTGAGCTCTTCTGGAATGTGTCCATGCTACAGTTCATATCTCATGTTTACATAGATCAAAATTCAGATGGGGGAGCGAAAAATAAAAACGAGTATTTCAATACAAATCGTCTACTTATACGCAGATTTTCCGAGCAATAATCCTACGATGTGCGTCCTCTTTTGTAAATCCTGCACAATGTGGGAAAGTAAGAAGATCACTTTGATTCGACATTCGACGGTTCTTCAACATGTGCCCTAGCATAGCAGTGTTAGGATTGCCATTTAGCGGACAAGAACGAGCCGATGTTACAATAAACAACCTGATCCTCTTACGTTATGTTCCAATTGATATTGATAGATTACGACATTTAACATGAGACACATGTCAATAAGATATGGAAAATTGAACAACACTTGTTAAATAGTGAGGTTAAGAAATAAAACTGCTGTTTTAGTCCGATCAGAATATCATCATACCAGCAGGTACATGAGAGCCAGATTGAAATATTTACCTTGATATTTGGCTTCCTAAGAAAATCAAATGTTTGTGCCAGCAATCGGCGCAGCTGAACAATTTTGTAAACATAAAGTGATGATGTGGAAACTATTCTATATGTAATGACTATGCATCGACAGGGACAAAGACAACGCTGTCGGTTTTTCTTTATGAACGATGACGTGTCTACAGTCTCATGATGTGCTGGATTTTGCCGAGTACGCAAGCGGCATCTCAAGAACTTGTTCAACAATAGAGACGCGAAGATTCTTAAGGAGCTTCTTTCTAGCTAAAAATCTAGTTCAATTTTTGGCAAGATTACTACATCCGACGTAATGCAGCGATTATGGCATATATTTGCTACGAAGATACTTTCATTATACTGTCATGGCTTCAGGAAAGAACACCTCAATTGTACGGAGGACTGTTTACTAGATATACCAGCTTTTTTATACACAGTATAAAAACTATATGTATAGCATGACATAATTCAAGAGGGTACTTTGGTAATCTCAGCTTTGTAATATGCGCGTAAACTATCAAACCGCGCTAACACAGTTGCAACCTACCTAAAACGCGCCAACACAGTTGCAACCTACCTAAAACGCGCTGGGGTTCACATGCCTCGTGACTATATGGACATTGCGCAAAAGTGAGTGCTTAACGAGAACTCATTGCGCTTGAAGTTTATTTCCACGACGTCAGTGCCTAATCTTGTAAGCCTCATCCACATCGGTTGTCTTCTCCCTAGTATGTCGTCAACTAATAGGCTACTTTTGGTGGCCCAGCGCCTTTATTTGAGCACGCGGTTTGGCCTATGAATAAGCGACCCCCTAAGAAAGTTGCAGTCCCCGTGATCGACGTCTTTTGAGAAAATTCGTCGGAAAGGCAAAGTGTTCTTTGTGATTCTTCAAACCCGATCTTGATACCTGTATCCTCAAATAGAGACATGAGGCAGAGTTGTCCATCGATGAAGAACGGGGCTCCACGCTCCACTTCCCTATTTTTGAATCGCGCACTTTGTGACTATTTTTATGGAAGAAAATGCCACGTCATCCTGCCGCGAAGCTCGAAGTGAATCCATCTCGTCATCAGTGCTGCAGCGGAGCTGCCGTAGCATTGAGCTTTGAGAGAACGTAACTTAGGTTACCGACCTTTCGTTCTGTACTTAGAACAAGTACGAAATCAGCGGATCGTAATCCGCTTACTGCAAGAGTAATTACTGCCTTAACCCAAGGCTAATTAACTCTTCCGTTTAAATCCAAAACTGACTTATTTATTTTTATCTGCGGCAAAGCCGCCCAACTTAAATTGCACAGATTTTTCCAAATATATATATAGTAAAATCTAAATACATGCATAACTACTGGCTACCTAGCCACGTAACGTATTCTTATTTGGGTGCAGTCACATCATGCCCATCTCGTGTGACACACACCCCTGTTACCAAAGTACGTGCAACCCTGCTAAAATGAGCTGGATTGTCACCTGAGCTAGGGAACAGAGGCGCTATTGCTGCGGACACTGAACCGGGACGGTCAATGTGCTGGATGTCGGAGTATCCGAGTTGTCGAGCACCGAAGGTGTATTTGACAAGAGTCCTGGGCATGGCTCGCGGGCTAAACGTGGAGTGGCACGTAAACACTGATCACTGATCAATTACCAAAGCAGCTGCAATCCAAGAATGACATGGTCGGACGAAATCCAAGGCATCGAGAGCGAGGCCCTAGTGATGCGCATGGAGTGGCACGTAATCCTTTAGCACTATCCACGCGCGAAGCAGTTGCTGCATGCCTAAAGTGGCATAGGAGGACGAGGGCCGGAGCATCTTGGGCATGGTCCAAGAGATGCGCGCGGAGGGGCACGTTATCCGCTAGACGAAGACTGCGGAAAATGCACCTCTTCGTCATATGTTGCTTATAACAACAGCGCTCCGGTAGAGTAGGAAGAGTGGCTGACACTGGACGACGCTGAGTGTGTGTTCCCACCGGTTTCGATGAGACGTAAATCCTCCCTAGAGAGGAGACGGCAATGCCCTATGTTGTCCACAAGACGCAGAGCGTCGACCCTGACCCAGTATGTGTCTGCCGTAGACGATAGCGCACAGCTATATACCCTTGTTAACGGTATGACGAGAGAGGAAGACGGCGACGCCACTCTCAAGGCTATTCCCGCGTTGGATGCTCTTCTTGAGCTGGACGAGATGTCCATTGGAGAGTTTGGCGGTGCCTTGAAGGCTTGTAATTTAGCTGAGGTGGTCATAATACGACCAACGATGAGATTTACTCGTCGTCGCTTATTCGATGAAGCTGTCCTGGAGTACACCAGGAGGGTGCTGAACACACGAAGTGGATCGTCGATCCTGAAGGCTCCTTCGGATCCGCATTATTCTCTGTAAAGAAATATTAAGACGTCATCTTCAAAGACCCGCCGTCTGTCCTACATCCGGACAGAGGTGTGTTTCATTAGATTGACCTGGTTCCGGGAACCAAGTACTGTGTAACACGCCAATCGCCCACGCCCAAGGAGCAGTGTGACGTCATTGACGTCATTTAATGTCCAAAGCACGAGTCAGGAATAGTGTGTGAGAGCAAGTCTTCCCATTCGACACCCCGTTCTGTTTCCGGAAGCCGATTGGAAACTAGAGCATCGTTCGCGCTCATAGAAATATTAATACTACCATCACTCTTGCACAGACGCCGATCCAAGGAAGGATGTACTCTATAACAATATGATTGTCTGTACAAAGTACAACGCACTCGACTTGGTTGATGGTATTTACTAATTGCTATAGGGAGTGAGTGATATTCCGCTGAAAGCGCTGCGTGG